TGACTATTTCATTTTCAGATCCTAATCAAAGTGATCCCAAGGAAATTCCAGGTTCATGCAGGTATTTATTATTAGAATCAAGCAGCAAGTACATAATTTTTTAATTGAAAATCTTACAGATAACAGATGGCAGGACATCATTGGAAGATCGGAAAAAAAAGAAGAAAATAAACAGTCTACTTACATTTTGCCACGTCAGTGCCGGTACTCCTGTTGAGCTGTATAGAGATTGATCATATACTGTTCACTTATTGTTTTGACTGCAAATTATTGACTAATATTTCTATGATATATTGGACAGTCCATTTATTAAATCACCCTAATATTCTTATGATATGCATAGCTTTAGGAAGGCTGTTTTCCAGCATAAAATAGGCTTGAGATTTTTTTCTTCTTATATACTATCTACTGCTACCCAATCCTCCCACCAAATGTACCCTTAATTTTGCTATATGCAAGAAGGAAATTGATTTACCTGTCTATAACTTTTATTCACAGGGAGGCTGCTGTAGAGTACTCAAAACATGTAGAAAAATTGGGAAATATCCTATTTGAAATTTTTTCAGTGGCTCTTGGACTCGACCCTGGGCATCTAAGAAACATGGACTGCTCTAAAGGACACCGCCTTCACGGTCACTATTATCCAGCATGTCCTGAGCCAGAACTGACTCTGGGAATCCCAAAGCACAGAGATGCTGGATTCCTCACCATTCTTCTCCAAAATCAAAGTGGCCTCCAGATTTTCTTCCAAAACCAATGGGTTGACGTTCAACCCATTCCGGGAGGGCTAGTAATTAACATTGGGGATCTTCTCCAGGTATATACGTAGAGTGAAGTTTTAGTTAAGTCACCTAGCTATTTTTTGTTACAACTTAGTCGACTGAGTTTCATTTTTTGTTTCAGTTACCTCATCGTAACTAACAAAAATCTATGCGCGTTATATGGAAGTCTTGATCTAGACTTGAATATTTAACTTTATTATTTTAAATGTTCATTTATGCAAGTTTGTTTCACAATAACAAAATTTAGTCACCACTGTGAAATCTTTCCTATGTACATCACATGATTTTGCTTTAGGTGTTAGTTCATTTAATTTACTCAAGTGTTTTCTTTGTTTACTTTTGGTAAAGCTCGTATCAAATGGAAAATTCAGAAGCAATAACCATAGAGTGCTTGCTGATCATCTGGGGCCAAGAATTTCTGTGGCATGCTTTTTCTCGGGACCTTTAGGCATGGAAAATATTTCTTATGGCCCCATTAAAGAGTTGATATCAGAAGAAAATCCTCCCATATACAAAGAAGTACTATTTAGTGATTATGTAATGAAGTTTTTAACTAGTTCTCTTGATGAGAATAATCTTCTCAATTATTTCAAAGCATGAAGATGGCAAGGGAAGAAGTACTCTTTCTCAGCTGCACTTGTGAATGACCTGTTTCAAGAGACAAGACAGATTGTGAATTATGGAATGTAATGTCATTTATCTTCATTAGAGATAATCATCATGTTATCATGTCACATGCTACATAGACGAATGATCATCTCCTATGAGATAAATATATATGTAAGAATTTCGGGTTTAATAAATGCATGATAATGGACATATTTTTGTAAAATGCGAAAAATAAGCATGTAATGTAGGGAATAAAATGATTCAGGGGTTCCGGTTCCTTTTTTATATGTATTATGTAAATTAATAGGGTTGCCGAAACTATTTGAAACATAGTATGGGGGTGTTTGATGGGGATCTTAAGCTAATTAAAATCAATTTTTTGACACTTATTTCACTATTTCAATCGTAACTTTTGAATTCCT